GTTAAGTCGATTCCAGAGAAGTATGGTCTTGGAAATACCGGTAAATCGGTCTGAATGCAAAATACCATCTAGCCTTCGCGATTTAAAAGAGAAGAAGAATGAGAATAAGTAAAAAAGAAAACAGAGAGAAGCGAACGAGAAACAAAACGCGAAGTAAAGGTAAGGTTGAAAAGGCGACGACGACCGAAAGTCGAAAGACTCGTTTCGTATTTTATGCATATATAAAGTCAATTAGCTTTAATTCCCGGAATGAGGCAGCCTCCGTTTGCGTTTTACTTGTGTTCGTGCTGAAATATAAAATGGGAACATCGGGGAAAACCGCGTTGCTTGTTGTTGTTGCCATCGAAACCGAAATGTGTATAAATGGTAATAATAATAAAAGTGAAACTGTCACCAAGGATGATGCGATCGTTTGCATATCAAATACATATATATCGTAATACATGAACAATTGATTACTCAATTGTATTTTGTTTCGTTTTTTTTTGTTTTGTTTGGCTGTTGTCGATTGAAGGAGAATGAAAACGTAGAACAAAAAGAAGAGCATGAAAGAGTCGTACTAGGAAATAGGATATGCAGAGTTCGTCACCAATTTCAAGTCAAGCGTCGATGTGTAATGCGAAAAATATACATTGCATGCATGTGTATACGTTTGAAGAAGAAAATAAAATAAGTAGCAGAAGACAGAAACAATGTATAATGTACACACACATATACGTTCATTAATAAATAATAAAAAAAAGTCCGAGAGTGGTGATTCATTGTGGCCTAGGCTGTTTCGGTGTTACGTACGCCGGGCACGTAATTTTGCTTCTCGCGACGAAAATGCGTACGCTCTGGAAGTACTGGAAAATTGGAAAATGCGCGGCCTAGACGATGACTAATTCGACGTAAATGTGTGGAATCGTCCACATTCTTCCGCTAAATACGATGAGCTAGCGCGTTCTTTGCATTTAAAAAGAATGAAATAAAAAAGGCATTTCGAACAAAATTCACATCGATTTCTTTCACATACTTCACGAGCATTCTATCTTTCCGACAAACAAATATTCGTTTTAACATCTACACATTTGCATCCTTCCTTCAACTAAATGTAAACTTGGCACAACTCGTTTCTTTTTTCGATTATTTATATTATATTTAATTTATTTTCAACATTTTCTTATACATAAATCTAGTTAGAATCATGCATCTAGTTAGAATCTTCTTTTATTTTAAATTATTTTATTAAATCTAATCTCAATTTATTTAACTTAATTACCTAACTTAACCTTAGGTTACCTAACCTAACCTTAGGTTACCTAACCTAAATTTATAAAATGTCAAAAATGTATGACACTTGAGATTGAATACATCGAAAGAACACAAAAGTTAAAACAATATAACTAAAAAATGAGCAAAACAAATTCCATCTATTTTTTTTATTTGCGAAACTGAAATAAAATAGAAACTGCAATTTGACATTGAAATAATAACAAAACACAACAATTTGCTATAATCGATAGACATTAATAGCTATTCGTGCTATTCTCTCTTTTTCAGATGATTTATTTAAAAAAAAATATATATATATATATAGAAAAATTTATTATCGATGTTTTGATTGGTTCGAAATTTATAGATTGTAAATATTGTAATTTACGTTTTCCACGTATCCCATGGTTTCCTGAAATAATCTCCTGCGGTTTATATTCCGGCGAGATTTACATTGTGCATTTCCATCTGTTTTTTTTAAGTTTTTTTATCGAACATTCAATTTTAACATTGAAAGACAACATTATTAGTGTTTTTTACCGTTCATTTTTAATAATAGCATTTATCTAAATCTTATTAAAAGTAATAGAAAAATCAATGATAACTTATACTATAAATTTTAAAAAAAGGTGTAGAAAAAGAAAGCAATTAAATATAAAGTATAATTTATTATTTTGTCAAAATAATTAGAGACAACTGAAAAGCTCTAGTTTTAAGTATTTTTTTTGCTATTGTTTTGTGACAAAATTGATTATAAATACATTTTTATTGTTTTATAAAACATTTGAAAATGTTAACAAAAAAGGATTTCAAATGTTTCTAATCAACTTTTTCACAATACTTTAATTGTGAAAAAGTTGACAACATTTGAAAACTTTTATTTTTGTTAATATTTTGTGAAACATTTGAAAATCTCTAGTCTGAAGTATTATTTTCTCCATTTTTTAGAAGCCGGATAAATTATTCATTCGCAATGCAAATAATGTTGCAACAATGTTGAAAACTTTCTCGTTATTCATTAATATTTGTTTTATCTAAATGTGCGTACGCGTTTTATTTGTTTGTGTCGTGTCGATAAATAAGCAATGAATTGAAAATATGAAATTGTAACGAGTCCGTGTCGATTTGAAGTGGAATAAAAGGGAAAATCTGGGGGCGCATCGATGCGGGTCGAGACCGACGACCTCTAATTGGAGCTGACATTCCAAAACCAGAAGACATACACACGCACCGTCATATATACATAAACACACACACGAGCACAGACAAACGTACGAACCGCATGCATCACAATTCATGCAATTCATTTGCAACTGTTCACTGTGCGCGAAAAGAGATTCCAAACGCAATAATTCGAGTACGAGAGCTGAAATGAAATTATGCACATTTGAACGAACGACACTTTTCAGTTTAGTTTCCCCATTTTGCGCAAATTGCCAGCCATTTGCACATTTCTACACACTTTTCTTCCAATATTCTTATTTTTATCAGTGAGCTTATTAAACAAGGGTAAAACCATAAAACTGTATCTCGTTAAAACAAAGCAACAGTAAAAACAAAACGACAATAAAAAACAGTAATCAATTAACCATTTTTTTTAAATCAACAACGATTCTGATAATCAACGTTTTTTGTCATTTGTCCTTTCGTATAATCATTTTATATTCAATTGTGTTTAAGATTAATAATTTTACTGTATACTAAATAACATTTGATAACAATTTTTTTTTTCGAATGAGATGAACATTATCAAAATAGGTTAAAACAAATGTTAATATGAAAAAAGGGAAAAAACACGAATTGTAGAAACAGTGGAGATCGTTGCACCAAGTATTCTAATGATAAATGTATCCTCGTAAAACAAGATGAACACGAAACTATGTTTTATTTATATCTAAGTAGGTTTACCACAATTTACATAACTGCAAATTGTGGTTCACGTGATTTGCTGTGAAGTTATTGCAGCTGGTAATACGTGTGTATCTTTCATAAAAAAGTTTTAAAATTATTATATTACTCTCACTGAATCTTCTGGCAAACGTATAGCAAACATTTTTGCAGTAGTCATTTTTTTTTAAATTTATTTATGAAATAATAAATGTAAAAAAAATGATATACCAAATATTCTGTATACGATCTTGGTTTCAAACAGTTCGGAATTGTCGAAAGTTTTATATAAAAATTGAAATGATTGGTTTGTGGCATTTCATAACAAATTAATTCATAAAACATTAAAAATAAAACTTATATTTAGCAACATTTTTGTATTTTCATTATTGAATCGTGATGAAACAATTATATAATACAAAGAAAAGTAACAGATCAAAGTACAAAATTGCAGATATTAAAACAAAACAGCTGTTTATGACAAATACAAACGTAAAATTTAATAAAACTTACATTGATAACATTTTTTTATTTCCACCATTGATTAAGCGATTATTTTCTTAGTTTAATAAAATAATTGCGACTGTTTCTTTTAAAATTATAATTGACGTAGGTTGCTTTGTAAAATAATAATAATAAAAAATGAGTTCTGCATTATAACTTATTTTTTATTATTATTATTTTACAAAGCAATCTATCTGCAGACATAAAAAAAAAGAAAAACAGATAACAAGCTCTATTTCTGGATTAATTAATGAAAAACAATAAAAATATATGTTAGAGATTGATCCAGCGACCAAACTGCACAGAATGCATAATTAAAATTCATATACACAAAAGTGACCTTTCTAGATACAAAAATGACGTCTAAACTAATTCATTCAATTATTTAATTCAATAAATTAATTAATTATTAAATTGTTTTAAATTTAATATTATTAACGTATTTATTGTTAAATTTCTCATTAAATCTAGAACTTTATATTAATGTTACATTAGACAATTCAGTCAGTTTTGTTTTTTACAAAAAAAAAAGTGAATGCAAAATTTGCGTTATGCACAAAAGTGACGTTTCATAAAATAACATGTATAATTTCTATTAAATTGAAACAAATAATAAACAAAATTAACTATTTTCTATTGAACTAAGATAATTAGTCTGTTGTTTTTTAATCTTCCAGGGAAAATGTTATTGCAAAACTTGGGTTAGTGCAAAAGTGACATTTAATTTTACAAAATGCAGGAATGTTGAAACTAAACAATCAATTGATTACGTAAATGATAATCATGCGTAAAATTGATAATTAAATAATATTGTAAAATTAAAACTGTGACTTTTACAATAATTGTTAATTTTGTTTTATGACACTTATGACAGTTCATGAAAGTAATAACTTGTTGATGTCTAATATTGCACAAAGGTAACTTAACGGTAGTTTACATTATTATTTGTTACAACTAAAATTTATTGCTCACATGAAACAAACAAAAAAAACATATAGAATTAAATTATATTTTCACCTTTGGTTTTATTTCCAAAAAAAAAATAAACGATTTGTGATGGTACAAAATGATTGCGTTTGACAATAACAAACAAACATATTTGTTAATTGAAATTTGCGAGAGATGTTTTTTGATCTTCACAATTTACCACCGGAAAGCGCGTACACCAAAAGTTCGGGTGGTTCACCGTTGCTACCAATCCACATAGAATCTCCATCATACAAGGAGAGTGTTATTGTCTGGCCTGAAATGCATTAAATTCCAGACATTCCTCGCCGCCGAGCGTCGTCTTTCGAGCTCTTCCGTACGTTTCGAGCAAACTGTCGACTCTCCGACTGTTCCGACACGTCGCCAGAGCTGCCTGCCTGCGCCCAGTCCGCACCGAACCGTGCACCAGTTTGTGTCCAAGATAAAAAGAAATAAAAAACGACCACCCACGGTAACGTCCTCCATCTCCGAAACAAAATTAACCATATTTTTTATATATCAAAAATTTGTTATTCGTATAGAGAAGAGGAGTCGGTGAATACGGAAGAGTTTCTAGTTTATTTATTGTGAGAACCGAAATAATTTTATTAAAAAGGAGTATAAGCGCGCGCGAGCGAAACGAACAATTTTTTACTTTACATTTTTTCTTTTTCGAATGCGAAAAGTGTGCTGTTTCTCAGGAGGATCGTAAAGTGTCTCTCCTTCAAATTGGTATTTATTTAGATGTGATTTACACTTGCATCTATACTTATACATTCCCTTCCTCTAAACTACGTTTTACATCAAGTGAGTAGCAAACGTCGTTTATAATATTTAACCAGGCAATTTGAGGATTCATATAGTGCTCTTAAATTTCTATGTTTATTTGTTTATATCTCTTCATTTCCATTCGTTGAAATTTCTTTTTCGCTATCTCAGCATCTTCGTTCTCTAACGCTCTTTCTATTAATCTATTCTGTTCATCTCTCTATTCCTTTCTTGTGACTTGGCGGTCGTTGCCCACACGCATCAATGCAAATCAAGGAACGCCTAGAAGCTTCTTACATTTGTTTATTCAAGTTTTGCGGAATTCCCCATCGCCTTTAATTTAAAATATATATATATGTTTGACTCTCATCCCAAGCGTTCAAAGTCGATACAACCTTTTCCTTCCTCTCCGCGTTTTTCCTCTCTTCGTAAGATATTCCGGTTGTGTTTGCGCTGAAGAATACTTTCGAAACATGTTGTTATCATCTACTAACTTCAACCAACTCTTTCATTCCGTCTCTTCCCAGTAAAATTCACAAACACATCTGAATCAGAGTTTCCATAACCGAAAACATATTAAAACACATTTGACATGTATTTATTATTTTAAACAAAAGTTAAGCAACGTCCAAATAATTTAACTCTATTAAGTAAATTTCTAATGTATAAATTTATACAATTCTTATAATAAGAACAAATTTGTAGATGTAATGTTTCAAAAACATACTTCAGAAAACAAAATTTTTGTTTCAATTTATTTTTTTCAAATACAAAATATTTTAAGAAAAAAAAATTACTGAAAATGGAATGCGTTTTGATTTGGAATACTTACTAATTTCATTCTTATTTTTTCATTTCCTAATCATATTTTTAGTTTTATGAAATAAACATCTTCATGCTGCATAATCTTTCTGTGTCAAGATAGTTTTGCTTTCAGGAATCTTTACTGACCCAAGAAGCATAACAAAAAAATTTAGATATCATGTTTCTACGATTCGCGCTATTTTATTTATTTCTTCAAGAATAAGAAAAAACGATTTATCAATGGTTTTCTATTTACTGCATGTGTTTAAACGGAATGATATAGTAATTTTAATTATTAACAACACATATTTCATAAGTACAAATTTATGTACTTGACATCATTCAAATACTAAATTTGTAGTTAATTAAAATTTTGTATTTGAAATTAATTTGTTTCATTTTTTTGTGTTCAAAGTAAATGTGAACTTGAAATTGATGTTTTTTACATACACGATTCATACAATTCGTATATTTTAAGTCGAAGGATAATTAATGCAAACGTTTTAACATTCTTTGCATACAAATTTCTTGTATTTACTCTAAAACGTACCTAATTTTGTACAAATTTTGATACTATCTTATTTTACCTGAACTGTTGATTTTATTTGACTGTTTTTATATGTTCTTTACTTTTTTTGTGAGCAGATAAATTTCAGTAATTCTCTTTTAAGTTTCGACATTCTTTCTGTTTTGATTAAATATATTCTCATTTTATAAATAAAACATATAACTACATTAAAATAAACAGTAATTGGTAATCAATTAATCCGAATGTATTAATTTTACTAGAAATTTAGGTCCTATAGCTGTCAAATTTAAAAAAGAACTCTTCTTGTATGCTTTAGAATGGCTATTTCATATGCAACTGTATATGCTGGAAACTGTGTCAATAAAGTTGTAGATTAAAATAAAAATCAAGTAAACGCCATCTGTTATTTGAGTGTGAATTAAATTCAAAATTTATATTATATTATACATTAAGGTTTGTTTGCTGTATATCGATGATGAGTAAATAAAGGAGGAAAAAAAATAATTTGAATAAACGTCAAATAAGCTTGATAGCTGTCATGCTAAGATTTAATCAGACTTTTATTGCATACAACAAAGTTAGGTTTCAATGTAGGTGATGAGATGATGATGAATGGAGATTGTGATACGAATCAACAACAGCATTCGCAACGTTGTTATCTACTCAGGTCGATAGGTTTATTTGCGTTTTATCTGCGATCGATCGCGCTTTTATTTACTTTCACATTCTCTTCGGCGCTGCTGCCACCACCACAGAGAAACGAAAAAGATTAGAATGCAATAAAACATGAAACTAAAAATAAATGGTTTTTAAAACGCGAAGATAACGCACGAAACATGTTGCCATCACAGAGAAACGAAAATAAATAGAATGCGTTTGCAAATGTAAAAATTGTATGTGTTGAATCGTGAAGAAAACGATTATTGTATTATTATTATTATTTGAATAAGCCGATCGCCGATAAATAATGCGCGGATTCCGCGAAAGTTGCGGAACGGAAAATTATCGCGGAAAACGAAATCTATCGTCGGGATATCGGGATACCAGGAAGGATAAATGGCAGCAAAATAAATTATTGCGTGATTGCAAAATTATTAATTGTTAATACAAATATTCTTGCTCGCCTCTCTTTGGAATATTGAATTAAGCGGTGGGAAAAGTGCGGGATATTTGAATTTTAAAATAAAATACAAAACAAAGGTAATAGAAGTGGGCGTATTTGCGGTCTGAATACCGGAGCGGTATTTGAACTTTCGATGGAAAGACGAAACGAAATAAATAAAGTGCGAAGACAAATAATCGATGATCGCGAAAGTTGCTATGAAAAAAAATAATAATGTTGGACACGTAATAATGAAATGATCCGAGTGAGAAACGAGGAGAGAGAAAATTGGTGAATGCCATCAGAAATTTTTGCAACTTCCTCATAACTCTCGGAGAGAAAGTAAAATCCATTCGAATTCGTGCTGCGCTTTGCACGTAACGCTGCGCTGTGTGCATATGCACTTTTTGCGTTTCGGGGTTTTTCGCTCGCAGCGGTTGGCAACGGTCTGGGGGAGTTTCTAGCGAGTTCCGAAGGACGAGAGTTCGATTGCCTCTCTTTGCGTTATTACGTTATGCCATGGGAAAAACTAATTGCTCGTTCACTTTGCTCGCTGCAGATATAATACAATGACTCTAGGAGAGTGGATACAATACAACAGAAACAACAACAACAACATAAAACTAAAAGCAAAAACATTAAAAAAACAACACGCGTGGATACTTGAAACGTTCTTGATTCGACGTTGCCTCTGTTTATTTTTTTATCATTTTGACTATTATTTATTTGTTGTTATTATAGTAATTTCGCTATTCCATAAACAACTATATTCACTGAAAACTTCGTTCATTAGCGACGGCGATGCGGCAACTTCAAATACTCGAGCGCTAATTAAATTGCATAATCGACGCCATTTTATTTTTTTTTATATAATCGCTCGTTGCGTTCACTCTCCTGGCAGCACCTTTCTCCCTACTTCAATGTATATTCCATCGAGAATAATAATACTCCGTCATTTCGTAACATAACTTAATCATACATCCATTCATTTATATAAACTTATTTTTATATGCATTTTCCTACAATGCATTAACTATTATTCGTCTTATATGAATAAGAAACTACTTTCAATTTGAATAAACCCAGCATAAACATATTGTTTGTTTGCAATAATTGCTTTATTTCATTAATAATAACGTAAACATGTTACAAACGAAATAATATATTTTATAAAGTAAATATAGTTTTCATTTAAGCTCGAGATGGCGCTACTATAGAAATTCAATGTTTCCTCTTTAGTTGGGAAAATTTGTCAATATTTTTATTGTATTTTTTAATAAAATCTATTTTTTCAAAAGTGATGTAACAACTTTATTTACAAATTTTTAATTTGGACCAAATTTGATATAAATTTCTTTGTATATCTACTCCATAAACATAAGAAACTAATTAAAAGCAAGTTATTAAACTAGAATTAAGTTATTTATGAAAGCACCAGATGGAGTTTTATTCAAATTTGAACTACATTTCATCTATACTATTTTTCTATAAACAAATTTCATGGAATAACGTAATGAGTAAACAAGTTTCATATAGAAATAGGTACTATATTCACTTTGCATTTTATTTTTACGCAAAACGTTATTTTTTAAGTAATTAAGTATTACGTGGAATTGGCAAAGCGCACGATAATTATAACGTTTAACGATAATTCGAAGTAAACGTTATCGCTGTCATGTAAACTTTTAATTTACGTTATTTGTTTCTTAAGTTTTGACTGATTTCTATACTCGTTATTTTCTTTTTTATTACTACACAATTGATACAAAACGTATTATGTATTTAGTTTTTTTTAAATAATTTTATGAATGTTTCTATTCAATAATAAAAATGTTTTACTTTTTATCATCATTTTGTGTATTTCATTTTACGTTGCGAAAATCTTTAAGTGTTTTTCGAATGCTCATATTGATTTTGCTTAACTAAATAAGTATCTTTATTTTTACGGTTTGCTGACTTCCCGGCTTAACTGTAAGATCGCGTTACAATGTTTCGCAATGAATTGAAAAGTTGTCGATGATTTTTATATTCGTCATTATCGTCGTAGTCTTCATTAAATTTCCGACACGACTTGGACAAAGGAGTCTATATTATCCGGAACGAGAACGATTCTGCACGCATCAGCGGCGATAAATTATGATCAGATTTTTTTTAGAGAATTCGCGTTAAGAATAAAATAAGAATTGTTCAAGTAGCTCCATTTTCTATAATAAAATCAGGAGTTTTAGAGATTTTTCGTTAAGTAGAAAAATTCAAGTTTATTTTTTCTCATAATAAAATCGCAATTTTTAGCGAATTCAAGTTAAGAAGAAAAATTCAAATAACAAAATTGTGAATATTTTTAGAAAAATAAATAAATGAACGCGTTCGGAGGATTCTGGTTGATGCAATGGATAATATTCGTTCGATCTGCGTATGGATGAGAGGAGAGAACGACGCGTAATTCAATTCCGCTCGTTAATGAAAATATGTACGGAACGACATTGAACCGTCTGCTCTCTCGGACGCCGAATTCCGTCGTAAATATTGGGATACGTGAATGCATAGAAAGAGACCGAAAACAACAACAATAACAGTTGAGAAGAATGCGGAGCTAAGAATTAA